ACAGTCTGTGTGATAAAATATCATCATAGGTCTGTGGGGAAGTTTGAAGCAGGATTAGTTTATAAAACATGAAATGTTTCTGCTGCCTGATCATTAATATGTCATTTTAAAATGTCCAAGTAGAGCATTTCCATATTTTGTTTATAAATTCAAAGACTATATAAAAATATATAGTCTGCAAACATACAGATTCATACCGACGGGTAGAAAAATTCTACTAAAAGAATGACCTTCATGGGTTTGAGCTACTAGATTTCCCACATAATTAAATATAGAAATTCACAACAAACTGTTTATTCTGTCCAAAGCTTCCTGGCAGTCCGAGACGCTCTCCGAAGCAGCGGAGGCGCAGCCAGGGCCGACGGGGGCTCGTACACCAAAAAGCTTGCTTTGACGTGTCACCAGAGCCGCGCTCCCTGCCAGACAGCGGTCAGAGCAAGAACTGAAGCCAACAAGGAGCGGGACTATCAGAGGGACACGAGAGGGACAGGGATCAATAAAGGAAATCCCAACAGTGATGAATCCGGGAAACATGCCAAGGAAGCTATGATTTGTTTCACCAGCCCATCATTGCACATCTGAGCTCCTACTAATACCTGGTTCGTTTTGATGAGGTTCTCTCTGCAGTATTGCTGTACCTGTGGCAGTGGTGTTACGGTTATAAAGTGTTGTCATTCTGACTCACAAGAGCCTCCTTCTGCCCTAATGGAGCTCTCCCTTCAACACTGCAGAGAGCTCTATGCAATACGTGTAATCTCTCGTTCTCTGGCAAACATCGGGTTTCAAACTGCCACTTCTTCACATCTTTTTCTTTCCAAAAGATATTTCTTGATCTCTGATGGAAGGATTTTACTGTATCTAAGCTGTGCATTACGGACCACGTTAAAAGGCCAGTTTTATGGCGCATGCCTGATTGCCAAACTGTTTTTCTACATACCAGTGAATATATTTAAATGAAAAACTAATGTAAGGAACAATTGTAAACCATTTTATTTTTATTCTAACGTGTACACCAGGACTGCATGAGTGCCTTTAACCTGAGAATGACATATTTGCTGGTGTTTTTATGTTTTTACTATGAGGAAATTGTCCCATCTTGTATTTTTCCTACAGTGTCTCACTCGGCTTCATCAATGACTTCCAGAGGTTGTGCTCATTTACAATACATATATAATTGCTGGTGATCTGGGTGCATGTTTGTGATTATGTACCAGCCTGTGAGACCAAATTGTTCAGGTTTTTTTGTATTTATATGGACTATATTATCAGTTTATTATCCACCAGATGCTGATGTGGAATGTTATTTCATGCTGGTGTTCTTGAGTACAACCAAGCCAAGGCTTAATTAATTAAACCTGCATGTGCACAAATGTAAAGCATTTACATGCACTTTATATTCCCACACTGTTCACACTGCCTGAGGCAACCCTGCACTGTACCGTGATTGGTAACTTTAAGTTGCACCCAAAGCTGGTCTGTTGTAAGTTCTTGGCTTTCTCCACCTTCACTCTTGTTTACAAAACATTCAGAGTGACAAATAAAAAAATCACACTCCAAACATTTATTCTCTTTATTAAACCACAAGAGCTCAGGTAAAAGACATTATTTTTCAAATTCTCATAATTTTGCCATTTACCATTGTCTTTCTGATGTAAGTATTTGTACAGTAATAACAGAACTTGTTTTAGATACAATAACATTTATAATACCCATATAACTGACAAATGATGCTCAAATTTAGGTCCCAACATATTTTCTTCTGGGTTCACTGAGGATGACTCCTCCCTGCTTCATTGCAGCTCTGAAGGCTTGAACCTGCAAGAAGGATATGCATTTACTTTGAAACAGTGTGAATTAGTGACTAGCTAATAATGCAGAGTCATGAAACGTTTGGACACATTGAAAAAAAACTGATACTGTGTCACTGAATACTGACCCCTGCTGGACCTTAAAAATACCTGCAGGCAAATTAGTTGACGCTGTCAACCAACACTGATTTGATGACCTAGTATATACAATAAGTCATTATATTTTAGATTCCATTATTTTATATCTTCATTTTAATTTGAAATATTTTTAGATACAGTTAAATAATGTGAACATGTATCATGTGAAAATCCGAGTACACAAGTTGTGAATATGGATGCATGCAGACAGATTTTTTTCCTACAGACTAATTTTAAAAAATACATTTTTCCAACATTTTGAAATCGAGTCTGTTACACTTTTTTGATAGAACTTCTCCAGCAGTAGAAAATATTCGCTCACGCGGAGCAGATGAAGCTGGATTCTAAAGTGCAAAGAAATTGTATGGAAAGGAGAAAGAAGTTCAGTAAGTGATTCCATCAGCTTTAGATGGCAAAATAGCTTTTCAACAAAAAGTTTGGAGAAGAAAACAAAGTGTGGTCCATTTATTTACTGCCCGTGTATTAGAAGAACTAAAATAATGATTACTCTTCAGTTGGGAAATTCAAGTTTTAGCCATTTAAAGTTGTAATCTTAGTCCTAGAAAACATGGATAGCTACTCTGAAAGTTTGACCCATCTATTTTCAATTCAAATCATTTTTACAAATAAAAAACACAATTGTATTTAAAACTAAAGGTCATCCATCTCCTAGAAATAGTAAAATTCATTGCACAATGTCAGTGGAAGTAGTTAGTACACAACGAAATGCAACAAAGAAAAAAAACAAAAACATGAGGCCTTCAACGCAAAGTAATCCACCAGATTCTGCAATACTCACTCCCTCGGATCGGTACGTCCAGGGAATGGCCCGGTACACCATCCTCATGATGCCCGCCTGCTGGCATCGATGCGCCAGCACCTCGCCCACAGCCTGACATGCCGCCACGCAGTTTGTGGACGCCAGCTCCTTCTTCACGGCCCACTCTTTGGTCGAACAGGTCAGCACTGGGACGGGTGAAGTGCAGGAGAACACTTCTGCTGTGACGTGATGCTGACTGCGAGAAAACATCAACCTTGAAAAGATGAAGAAAACAGAAGTAGATGGTGTAAAGATTATTTTTATTTAAAATGTTATTCTTTCAAGATGAAAAAACATACTTTGGTCATTGAAAAGAATGAATTTGGGTATGCACGTTTACTTTATTATGGGTGTTTCTAATCCAAACACAAACAAAATATCCAATCCTTCACCAGGAAAATGAACAGTTCAGCTAAATCAGGAAGAGTCCAAAATTAATATTATGCTCAAGTTCACAGTGAGTGGATAAAAGCTAGAAATGCCCTAGAAATGAACACAAACATGCAATACAAGCTTACAAATATGTTTATATATATATTTTAAAGGTGCGTACCTTTTGTTTCAATATGTCTGATACTTTGTTTTAATTACACAGACAATTAATGTATTAATAATAATATCACCAGTCAGGAATCAAAATTGCCTGATCAGCAAGTCAAATACTGACGAATATTTTCTTTCCTCTGTTCTGAATAGTTGTTGTCGTTTCATACTGTAGCTGGAGATTTCTTTACATAAATTGTAAGGAATAAGGTGTCCAATACACATTATTATTATAGACATCTAATATTTTATTTCGATGTCACTTCTAATGCCATTCAGGTAGTTTCATGTGGCGTCAACATCACACACTGGGGCCCCACTTTAAAAGGGGGATCCACAGATCTCTTTCTACCTGTGGTAGAACTCCTGGTGAGGCCAGGTGGTCTTCCAGCCCCGGTCCTTCACAGCCAGCGCCATCTGCTCCAGGTTCCGCGGGTTTCTGTTCACGAAGGTCGGGTTGACGGCTTCGTTTTCATTCGGGGTGGGCTCGGGCCGAGCTGCAGCCTGACTCAAACGCCGAGCTGGCACCAGGAACAGCTAACCAGTCAGTAACAGCAGCGACTCGATGGCAGCAGGGCTGTTTGTTGACTTACCCGAGTGCGTAGAAGCGACACCAGAACCACACCGCTGACTTTGACCCATCAACAGCCGAACACTCCGATTAATTTCCCTCAAAGCCATCTCTGTTTGACCTCTGTTAGACAGTCAAATTCAGTTTTTCCGTGGACATCAAGGCACACTTTGTGCCCTTAGATACTTTTAAACCAACTCCCCTTTTCCTACACACTATTTTATAAGTTTTCACCGTGACAGAGGGAGCGCCATCTTTGAGACTCCAATCATATCCGGTTCACTTGACTGGGTGTTACTTGAAAAGAAGCACGGGGAGAAACAATCGATTATTCCGAAAAATAGAAACGTGGGAGGGATAACTGTGTGACACGTCTATTTTTATGCCTAATTGTTTATAAACCAGTGGGGGGAAAAAAACATTTAAATTTACTCTTTCTTAAAATTTATCTTCAAACAATAAGGAAGCCCCTTTGGTTAGATTAACACCGAATTTATTTATTTGGACTCAAGAGGCTGTCCCCATGAACACCATCATTATCCTGAAACATGGTGGTGAGGGCATCATGGTTGTAGATGCTCTCAATTCAATCTGATTAAGTGTACTTTGTCAAGGACACCGGCGAAAATGTGTACAATGCTGGTAGCAGGATACCGCAAAAGATTTGCAGCTTGAATGGCAACAAAATCTGAAGGCACCATTTAGCATTTTATTTTGGGCTTTTGGTCCAAATGGTATTGAATACAAATGCATACCAAGTTTTTCTTTTTTTTTTTTTTAGGATTTGACTTGAAATATGTTTATATACCTGAGTAAAAAAAAAAGTGAAATTTAAAGCATTTTAGAAATAACAGGAAAGAAAACAAGAATAATTTAACCTCTAACTTTGTCATCAACTTCATTGAAAGCTTTAAGAAATAGCTTTAAATGTTTACAGAGTATTTAATTTAGGAACAAGATGATTTTCAATGCCGACTTATTTGTTTTAATGGTCACAGTAACCAGACTTGCGGACTTCCCGCATTTTTGATCACTTTATAAAACCAACATTTTACAACAGAAAGAGTGAATTAGCAGCAAGTCTAGTCGCTTGAAAAAAGAAAGTAATCAGAAAACAAACTTTTATTTAATTTTCAGTTTATTCAAATGTATACAGTTAAATGGCAAAAACAAACCAAAAAAAAGACAACATGTCAACTGAATGGTTTTGTAGTGGCGTGACAACAGCAGCGGTGATCTAAACATAACGCCTACATAAACAACTCCAATAAGGCACTAAACATGTTGGGACATGATCATGAGGGAAAAGAGTTTTTGGTTTATGAATATCATTCAGACTGAAACATTCATCAAGTCATCAGTGTCAGATTCCCTTAAACAGCAAAACAGACTCATTTGCAGATGTGCTTTCCCTTTTCTTTTCATAATTCATGTTTGTAATCAATTTAATTTGAGAGTATTGTGTAACACTGTTTAAAATATTACAAAGGGGATCCGAAAGAATATTTTCATACAACAATGTCATAATCAAGTGGACACATTTTGTTTTTCTATTGATGTAAAAATAACAGTCAGCATTATTCATCATGATTATTGTGCAAATTAATTTAACCATTTCATGGCATACAGGCAAAAGAATACCATTAAGATTCACTTATATTTCTGTTAATTGAACTGATTTGTACTTTTTGGCCCATCATATAGCAGCTGAAGCGTGGATAAGAGAGTTGAAAGAGAATGGGCTGAGTTTATAGCCCGTCCCGCTGTAGAACTTATTCTGAAACTCCACCCTGCAAAAGAGACGATGTAAGGATTAAAAAGAACAAAGCCGCGCAACACATGGCTCTGATTTTACTGTTAAATCATCACCAGAACTATCTGTGAAAAATAAATTCAGTGAAACATTTTTCTCTTCCTTCCACACGTCCTTACCAGTGCAGACGAAGCGCGTGCAGGAAAGCCGAGAGCCCCTCCATGACCAGGAGGATGGAGACGGTCAACACGGCGAAGGCGGCGAAAATCACAAAAAGCAGAGCAGATCCGACGTAGCCCTCCCACTTCAGCGCCAGACGCATGACCATGACCCACAGCACCTCGGACAGCTCTGTGGAGACAACAGCAGTGACTCACAGTCACAGAGCCACGACTGCTTGGAAAAAACAGATGAATACCAGACTGGGCAGGTTTGACTCCAAAGAGGAAGTCGTGTGTGTGTTAGTACTAACGTGCATGAGCCAAGCTAAGGGCCCAGAGCCGTAGGTAGGAGGCCGTGTTGGAGATGCAGCCCAAGCAGTACTCGATGGTGTGGATGGCCTGATGCATGAACACATCTGCAGCATCAAACTCCTGCAGGAGACGCGGTTCGGATCGTCAAATTAGAAGCATGAGTGCAGCAAAGAAAATTCAATCTGCTTCATAAATTCAATCAGTTACCTCCTCGTCAGCCGGGCCGCCCTCCACCTCCCCCTGCCGAGTGTTGACCGAGCCTTCGTCATCCACCAGCGGCTGTCGTTCCTCGTCCTGATATCACAAAGAGTCCAAATCTAGCAAACCGTCCACTTCACAGTCTAAAGATAGATAAAGCTGGCTGAACCCTTAAGACTTACGATGCGTCGCCGCCGTTTGGATTTGAATGCGACATATTCACACAGGGGTTTCCCCAGCAGGAGGACAGGGACTGAACACAGGGCCAGCACCACCAGGACCTTCTGAACTATAAGCTGCACAGGGAGAACAAAAACATGTTCAACAACACAGCAGCCAATGCAAGAAATCTACTCATATTAGTTTATACAAATACCTTGGGAAAGTAGTAAACATGTTTTGTCTCATAAACTGAGCAACAACTGCAGCACTGTTTGCTATTATGGATGAGTACATAATTGGATTCATGTGCTTGTAATAAACTTGGAATCTGATCTCGGACAGTGATCTGATTAAGAGCATGACGTTTACAGAAAAAAAACCAAAAAAAAAACTAAAAAAAAAAAAAAAAAAAAAAAAACAAGCATATAGTTAAAAAAAAAAAAAACCATTTTGTACATTTCCAGCAAAATGATCCAAATTTTCAAATAATTTCATTGCATTACAACCTCAAACAAAACAAAGAAATGCACAAAGTGGAACGACAATGATAAACATCCAAGACATTCTATGAAAATGTCCAATTAAATGTGGTAAAGACACAGCCTAGATGCTACATACATCCATCTGGCTACATCATTCCTCCTGGTCCTACAGCATATTGACTCCAGGCAGCAGAACATGAATCCACAGAATTTAGTGGTAGAAAAATGTTGAAAAACATATATTATTTTGCTTCATTTTCAAAATGATGTACCTTGTTGTGTTATTCTATCACATAAAGCCTCAACACATTGTAGTTTGTGGTTGTAAAGTGATCTAAATAGTTTTTGGAAAGCAAAACTCCGCATGTATATTTAAAAAAAAAACATATGCAATATTTTCACCTTGAAGATCATAAGCAGAACCTTTATATTAAACAGGGAAACAAATAAATTCAGCATCTTCCGGAGTGCTGAGTAAATGAGCACACTGGCCTCCATTACATACAGTATGTGGCTGTTGTGTTGGAGCACACACCTGACCCGTGTACAGCTGGGGGTTCTCTGGGTTGTCTGTGAACAGGAACATGTCTATGAAGTGGATCAGTATGCTGGGAGCGATTCTGGACTTAGCAGGCGTGTAGACGATCCACTTAAAGACCACCATGAAGACAAGGTACCCGAAGAGGCACAGCATAAAGAACAGCTCTGGGATCAGCACAAAGAAGATGCTGCTGATTTTGCCAAAGTGCCTGAAGAGAAACAGCGAGACGGAAGTGAAAATTAACTCTGCAGGAAACAGAAACCGGGGCAGACAGATATGAGAGGAGGAGACAGGTTTTTTCTTTTTAGAACAGAGAAATAATCCAGATCACTGACCAGTAGTTAAAGAACGACAAGCAGACTCCAAATGTCATGTGAATGATGCCGATGATGACAGACATCTTCATCTTGTACGAGTTTAGGAAGGTTAGCTTGTTATTAGCCAGACCCCAGACCTGACAACAATAACAAAAAGGCAAAATAAGACTGGCTTCAATTCGGTATTTAATTAAAAAGGAATGATTAAGGATCTGACGGCTGTACAGGGTCGATCCCAAAGGGATATGGGCTGGTGAAAACCCCGGTCACGTTAGGATCCATGGACAAGAACTGGTTCCCCTCCAGCACCGACGAGCTGAAGCAGATAACATGAATGTAAGGAATACGGTGGGTTAGTGATAAAACAAAGAAAAACTGGGTGGTTCAACAATTTTATGACTTGTCCTCACTTCCAGATGTTGTTGTCAAACATTGGGCCGACGTGCCACCCCGAGTTGAAAGTTTTCATGCCTCGGCTGAAACATTCGTTGTAAATGGCTCCTGTGTAGATGGAGAAGAGGCCCATCAGCAGAATCAGATAACGTCCTCCAAACATCATCCTCCATATCTGGAAACAGAAACACGTTTCGCTTACAGCCAAAACCTGGGAATGCCCCACTCCAAATGTCTTAAACTTAATTAAAACCACTTTCAGAAGAGCAATGTTTCATTGGATGTATGCGTCACTTGACTAATCTCCATTTTATTAGGAAATACGAATAAAACACAGACAGGATATAAGCTCTAACTGGAGGTGAATTCAGAAAAAAACTTTTCTTTGAAATATTGAATTCAATAACTATAGCTTAGCAATGATTTTTAATTTATTGTTCTAGTTTCCATGAAAAGTTAAACAACTAAATCATTTAATCTGATTTTTAGATAAAATCTAAAACTGTTTAAGAACCTATTAAAGCAGAAATAGACTTGGTTAATTCACATTCATATCTTGTTTTCCAACTATGACTCTACGAACATCAAGTAAAAAAATGTAATTTCTGAATTAAAAGTTGAATTATGCTCTAAAGGCATACGTTTAGATGCATCTAAACGTATGCTATAGGCGAGCTAATCTAAAGAATGAAGTGTACCTCATTGTTGTTGTTTTTGAGTTTGGGGTCTTTCTCCTCCAGGACCATCCAGAGGGCAGCCAAAGACATGAGTAATCCATGACCCACATCCCCAAACATCACAGCGAACAGGAAGGGGAACGTGATTATGGTGTACACCGCTGCAGAGGCACAGGGAGGGGAAAAAAAGAAAACCATTGAACAAACTGGTTGCTTTTGATCTAATTTAACAGTCATTTATTTGATGGATAAAATGACAGACAGACCTGGATTGACCTCCCGGTAACTGGCCACACCGTAAGCGTCAACAATGTTCTGGAAACCAGCTGTGAAGGAGTTGAGGGGGAACAGAGTGGGAGGAGGGGTGGAGCAGGGCAGGCGGTTGTAGAAGGAGTCCACGCCGCTGCCACTCTTCCTCTGAAGAAGGAAGAAGAACCAGAACATCAGTTTTTTTTTTCTTTTTACTAAATCTAACTTCCAGCAGCGCTGCATGTCTCTAATTTGCTGCTGCGTCCATCTCACCCCTCCTTCTCTGAGGGCGCTCTGCAGCTCCGGCAGCTTGGCGGTGGGACACCAGGCCTCGGCGATCAGGCACTTATCAGTCACAGAGGGGCTGCAGAGGTTCAGCACCAGCTGGATGGCCTTGCACTTCTGGACCCGGACCTTCCACTGAGGCAGGAGAGCCACGGCTCGCTGCAGCAGCTGCTGCAGAAAGGCTTCGGTCTGAGACAGCACCTGAAAACGCGACGAGGAAGTGAAAACAGGGAGTTTAGCAACATGCTGCCCAGAGAAGACATAAAAAAAGGAACATTACCGCACAGTGTAAACACATTTGGCACTTTCGGGGTTTTCAAAAAGAGGAAATGCTGGTATTGATGCTGCAACAAAAAAAAAAGAAAAAAAAAGCACTCACTGATTTGATGTCTTCAATCCGACCTTGAAGGCCCTCCAAAATTTCTTCTCTCTCTGTTGTGCTCTCTGGATATGCAAATGTCTGCGTGTGGAAGCTGCTCGATGTAAAAAAATAAAAAATTCAGCCTGATCCGAAATGAGAGAATACTTTAACTAGAAAGTAAATAAATAATCCGATAGATGCACAGGTTTCCTCACCAATCACAAATCTTCTTCACTTTCTGTCCGATCTGATCTCCCCAAAACGAGATCAGGAAAACGGTCCACTGCACCATTTCCCCCTGAAGACCGAGAGGCAGAAAAAAAAGGTCCAGTGGGAAAACAGAAACATGTTACGTTTAAATGAAACTAAATCAGAGCTCCTGTCCCCAAGCTCTTACCGTGTCTGGGTGCTCAAGTCGGTCATCCATTTCTCTAAAATCCACGATGATGTAACCGCGACATGCCCGCCACAGCAACCGTTCAAACGAGGGGACCTTCCAAGGATGGACCACTCCTGCAACAAAGCTGAGGCACAGAGGAAGATGGGATTCAAAAAAAAAATCTAAATCTTCGAGGAAAAACTAGAGGAACCCATCAAGGTTTTCTTACTTGACGTTAATATCCAAAGCAGAAGAAAATATCAATGATCAGATAAAATAAGTGGAAAAATTGGTCGATTGATCTGTGCATCGCTAAAAGAAGAAGAAGAAGAAAAAGCAGAGATCTACCTAAGGCGGATATCTTGGCGGTGATCAAACAGGCCGTGGCTTTCCAAAACAGGTGGTGGTCCCTGTCAACGAAAGGTGGAAATTGTTTTTTTTTTTTTTTTTTTTACCTTTTGCTCCATCATTTTAAAGAAGCTCTAATAGCAATGTCTAGATATCAGGTGTGGAAAGACCTGCGTGGCTGTGAGCGAGTGCGTTTGCGTCAGGACTCCTTTGTACTGGGAGAGCTGCGTGAGCTGAGCCCGGAGGCTGTCTCTGTTCCTGGACACCTGGAGGCAAACAAACGGGACATGCCCCACCAAAACGTTACATCACAACGCCGCTACAGAAGCTCGTCAGCACGAACTCGCAGTGGTGTTTTTGTTTTCACCTCTCTGAGCTCTCTCGCCAGCCTCTCACTTTCCTCCTCGATGGTGATGAGTTCACGCGGCTGAGGGGCCGAAGGCACCGGAATCGGAGGGGGCAAGGGGCGCTGCAGGGGCGGTTTCAGGGAGCGATTGATCTCCTGCTCCAGAAAGGCTGAGGGACAATGCCAAAACACAAAATGATGCAAATAGACTAAAAATATACAACTCCCAAAACATCACGCTACATCTTTTCAGGATTCATAGCTGAGGGCTGAGACAGCCACTGAGAAGCATTGGTCTTGTGGTAGGTGAACTATTTCTGCCTTTGCATGGCCAATATCCAACTGATGTCGGATCATTATCCTGCTGAACGGCCCTGTGATCAGTTTTTTTGTAATTCACTACTCGAGCCCTTTTTATTTAAAAAGTCAGCATGCTTCAAAGATTTCTTGATTTCTTGCACATGCCTGAGCCTTTGGAAGAGAACCAGATCCTGACATTTTGTTACAGAAAAGCAAAGCTCAGTTTTAATCTGACCAAAGAACACATTTCCAGTTAAAAGTCCCAGTAGATTTTTACTTCCTCTCCACTGTGAGTGGTGGCAAGACAGACTTCGGTCCTCACCAGCGATCTCGCAGTTCCAGTTGTTTTTAAGGTATTGATTATTACTCTCACTGTTTGTATGTGTATCTATAGGTCAGGCAGGTTATTATGTCTTACCTATTCAGTCTTTTGAAGAATGGTTGAGAGAGGAATCACAATATATATTTCACTACAGAAAGTCAGAAATGAATAACTCAACTTCTGACAATGCTTAAATTGCAATTATTTAATACTAACCGGGGTTTCAAAAATGATTACTTATTTTCTAACATGGCACTTTTTCCCCCTCACTCAGTGATTGTCCTCAGGTTATTTTTCTTTGAGATTATGTTCCCGTTGTACTATACGAATCTATTTTAAGGCTTCTGACGCATCTCTATCACGGTGTGCCTGTATAACGTAGACGGGGGAAATGAGTCGATCCTTACAAAAAGTCTTCTCGAGCTCTTCACATCGCCTGACCTCGCTGACAAACTTCCTCTGGAAGGCATTCACGTTAGGATTCAACTGGAAAGATAGAAAAAAAAAGAGGAAGACGGCAAGAGGGGTTATTTGTATTCACCTTGTCACAAAGAAGGAAATAAAATGTCGGTGTGTCTAGCAAACCATTCAACTTAGAGTAACTGAAAGGAAGGCAATTCTTTTAACAGTGATATTACTCAATTGTTTTAATAGAAGACAATATAATGAAAATAAAGACAAAATCAATCAGCAACTTGCAGATAAGAAAACATTTTTTTTTTAACTCAGATCCTATATCACGTCGACGCAAAAGTACAAATGATCACTGTATTTGACTTACATCTCTAAACTCCACCAATCCCAGCTCTCCCAGTTCGCTCACACAGTTATAAGCCGAGCCGGACTGGAGGAAAAGCTGCACCAGGCACACCTCCTCACTTCGAAACAGGGACCCCATAACTGCAAACAAGAGAGAAAACCAGTAGCACCTCCACTTTCAAATCGCAACACGAAACAAAATACTGTTGTTTGGGCAAAGAAATATGAACACTTTTTGTTTACTTTCTGTCCTTTATTTAGCACAGGACAGAAAGGCATTGATTTGTCAAAAAGAAAGTCCAAAAAGAGGATATGACTTTGGCTGGTGCACTAAAAGATCAACTGACAAAGCAGCAATTTATGGGTGGAAGCTTACAAAAGGGAAGTAGCAGGTTCTGCTGTGGAGATCATCAGGTGGAATTTCCAGTTTTGCAAATGTATGTCAATAACATGATGAGTGTAATTCCACTATTTATTTATTCTCCAAAAATGAAAAAATAAAATAAAAAAATCATGTACTTGATGAATATATATATATATATAGAGTATATTATTCTATTCAACTGGATTGAGATGTTTGAGAGACATATGTATTTTTTACCAAGAGATATTTGGTCTCTTTAATTATACTTTCTATGTATTTTTGAAGGGTCTGGTTTTGTTCTGCTCGACTAACAGAAATCACCTGACAGAAATCGATTTCAACAACTCAGTGTGATGAATAACAAATGCATTAAGGGTGAAAAAAAAGTTTATTATTCTTAATAGAAACTTTTTTCTGGGGACAAAGATCTTGTTGATAGGTTGATTTTTTTCCCCCTCCACATTTTCTTTCACAAATGACAGTTTTGAGTTTCGTTTTCACCAAATTCAGTTCCAGAGAAACAAAGCAATGAAACAACAGCTTCAAATGAATAAACTTACCGCATTTTTATCGTCCTGAGAAAACGGGAATACAAATCTACAGTATGTTGGTTTTCAAAGCGACAGTAACAGCAGTGAAGGTGGGGAAAGTAGCTCCAGGTTAGCGGTAAACAAAGCTAAATCAGAGCTGCCTCACCTGTCTTCCTCCTGGACACCTCTGTGTCTCCCGAGGACACTCTCTGCGGCCGTCCTGGACGGTACCGATGGACAAACCTGGACAAAGTGGAGACGTGTTTCTAGGTTCCGAGGTGAGTTATGTTCTCTCGGCTCCCATTTCCCGTTCATGAGAGTCACGTTACCCCAGTTCTCACGTGATCCAGGACTTTCCAGAGCTTCCCTGGTTTCACCACTAGGGGGCGACGTTTTGTGCCGCAGTGATGTAATATTCTTCATCCTGCACTTTTATGTAGGATATAATTTTTAGTCATTGAAGGGAAATACGTTATTTTAATTAATTTTATATTGACATGCACAGGCACTGAAAACACACTTAAGATCAAATTGTTTTAGACCAATAACATGTTAAATACATGGATATGGGCTCTAACACCTGCTTAAAACGTGTTATTTTCAAAAGCTCGATTAATGGAATATGTTTTTAAAAAAAGGGAAGATGATACCCCTTTTTGCAAGCATAATACATAAGTTTATTCCAGACAATGAAAAAAAACACAATTTTAGCAACATACAAGTAATTCCTCTCGTTTAATTAACCAAAAAGACATGTTCATCAAACTCGTGGTCACTTTTATTTTTCATGTAATGAGCTTTTTTGTTCCCCTTTCATCTCATCTATACTTATTTTCAACACCACACGGAATGTGTAGATATTTAGCACTGCAAGAACAATTCATATTACAGTTTTGTGGGTGGGAGGGGCTTGGTTTGCAATTAATAACAGGCTGGTTTGAATGACCCATGTTGACCCCTCAGGTCATCCTATCTAATCTCAGTGATCTTAGGACCAGAACTAAACAGCAGGAGGCCATCTTTCTCTTTCTCACCTCTGGAAATAACTTAAACATGATATGTGCAAAACTTTCTAGCTCCTTGCAAAAATTAAGACTGAAAATATTAGTAAAAAAGCAGATATTGCTGCTTAAATTCAGAAAGTTTTTTTTTTAATTATTTTAAATTCATTGAAGTTCTTTGAATGCAATTGTTTTTCTTGTAACGCACTTTTAACATGTACCGTACATATAAACTTATTTGTACAGATTTAAAGGCATGAACAGTTTCTCCCCTTTTCTAGATTTTTTGTTTTGTCTTTTTGTGTTTCAGATCAGCAAGACAAAAATATCAGAATCATTTCAAAATGTATTTTCAAACAATTTAACAGGAGATAAAAAAAAACCTACCCAAACCAGCTTGTCTGAATTTAAAAAAGTACACTTACAAGTAATAAAGTCACCGATTCATGTACATCAAATTAAAATGTAGACAACATAACTTGAAAAAGATATTTTATTTTAGCATCAAAGGCAGAGATGTATCAGGTACAACAGTAGGGAATGGAAAATGTACAACTGAAAAAAATGTTAAAAATGGAACAAAAAAATAATGACAAATCAAACAAGAGGGAAGGCTAAAAATAAATGAGTCTTCTACATCTGTTGGTATTGTTTTACTGTGAATCACTAGATTTAATTTGATCTTTCCCTACAGATACAGCGATGAAGCTGGTCTACATTTAAAAGCAAAGCTGATCATCACCAGATATAGTTGTTGAAAAAGCACATTGAACTGTTTCACAATCAAATTAAAACCTCCCTAAAAACAAAAATAAGAAATAAGAAAATCAATAAAACCAGCAGGCAAATAGGACAGAAATTTCTTGTTCGCCTCTGTTCTGAAAACCAACAAACAAGTTACGTTATACTCATCCTATTGTATTTCTATGTGCCTGCTTTCCTGGATATGAAGACAAACACAACATCAGAAGTATAGTTAACATTGACTTTTTTTTAAAATGACTGTGCTTGGAAATGTTACTCAGTTATAAGTCTCAACTGTTGTTCATCCTGAATTTATTTTCTTTCTACAAACTGTAAAATCTGAGACTTCTGTCCATTCCTGCAGACGTCAGGAACTTGGCATTTTCTCCGAAGGAAACTCCGGTCACCAAACCAGTATGGTCTGAAAGGCAAACAGAAAAATTAATGGCTATTTGAATAGATAGATTTACTGTTACAAACAACAGATGATTGGCATTTCGTCTCCTCACCTGTGAAGTTGAGCACTTCAGACCACTGCTTGCAGATGTAGACGCGGATGTCAGACCCGCCTACGGCCAGGTAGGTCCCGCTCTGATCAAAGACCAGAGACTTCACCTGAAAGAGAAACAAAAACTAATCAGTTTCAGAAACAGAAAACTACAAACAGTCGAGTGCGTCAGCGCCGAAATGCGTTTTCACTTGGTTACCGGCAGCCGGAGAGGACAGAGGTTTTCTAAGCATCTTTATTGTAAACACTGGGCTAAAGGCAGAGTGTGTGGAGCTTAAAATAAAAATGTGACTTAGTGGAAAAGAGCTGGATCATTTCAGAACTGGAAGCAGTCCACTCAGTCTCGCAACTGATTAAAATGCTTCCGCCAAAGAAACTTTAAAATGCCTCAGTACCCAATTTAGAGATTTCACTGACAGTACTATTTTTACATCGTGTACTTATGAAGTGTTGAAATATTTCACGGTTTTTACTGAATTAAGTAAACTAAAGAAGAAAAAAACTAAACAAGAAAAAAACCTCTAACAATAAATGTATTCATTAATAAACAGAGAAAAACACAAATAATGTTTAATTGCAGCTCCTTTTACTTTTAATATGCTCTACTCTCTCAACTTGCTTAGAATCAGGTTTAAACCATCTATCTCTCTTTCTGTGACAGTGCCTTGTAAAAGTATTCACACCCCTTGAGTTTCTCCTTGTTTGGTCACATTACATTGGAAAGAAGAATTTCCACTGCAGAACTGACTGTGTGTTCAGGGTGCCAAGAGAACCGCTGCTCCAGTTCCAAGCTTTTTACAGACGCCGACAGCTTCTCTTCTTGAACCAGCTTCCCTTTCTCTGCATCATCCCCACCACCATGTGGGGAATTGATTTATACAGTGTTAGTGACTTGTTGCAAACTAACAGCCTGGCTAATCTTTTCATAAAGCAGCTATATTTTAGTGGGACTAAAACATAGTCAGGTCTAACTTCTTACAAATGTTTGTAATTAGGTTAGTTTCAAGGTTATTGGTGAAAAATGGTAATACCCAACTTAAAGACTTCATTTCTAATATAGAAAACCCACACAGTTTTTCTTCCAAGTCACAATTATGAAAGATGGGTACTTTTGTAAGCAACCAAAATGTCCTATTTTGTGGGTGAGAAATGAATATTGCTCCAGACAAAGTCTAGAAATACTTCACTTCAAACATAGCAATTTCTTAACACTGACATGTTTAAGAAAAGAGAAATATTAGCCATTTTTACCTCATAGTTGTTGTCCAGAGATATAGTCTTAAAGTTCTTCAGTTTCCTCAGATCCCACAGTTTCACAGAGCTATCCTGGGCACCTGAATAAAATACAGAAAGAAAAAAAAGATCATTTTCAAATAAAAAGTGCAAAAATTCAGAGAGCGTTCAAAGACATATAGGTACTTTGTTACAATGTATGGGAGTAAACATTCACTGTGAAACTTGTTTTTTTCCTAAAAGAAATGTAGGTAATCTTTACATAAAAATGAATCACAAAGTACACACTCTGCAAGATTTTAGCCAAATACTTGATTGGGTGGATATGGCATAGTTATGTTACTTTAAATAAGATTTATCAAAAGCAGATACACTTACAGCTAGATTGTTTATATTTTGCATTTAATCTTTTTAAACTAATATCAAATGTCATGCAGACAACCTTCAAGTCTTCACTGCTTAGATGCTGCATCTAAGGCATTGTGTTGTGTTGAGTATGTCCTGATATCTAGAAACTTTCCAGTTCTAATACAGAGTCAACACAAATTTAAAAAAAAGAAGATCAATAAAGTGCTAAGCGGAACCTGTGGCCAGATAGTATCCGTTCTCAGAGAAAGCAATGGAGGTCACTGGTCCGGAGTGGCCCGGGAAGTTGGCCACGTTGGTGCGCTCCTTAAGATCCCAAATCTTGATCTGGGAGTCGGCCGTACCGGTGCCAAAAATGAGACCATCAGGGTGGAACTGGGCACAGGTGAGAGCTGTAGAACCAAGAGCAGAATAATCAGTGCCCACCTGGAGACTTGACACATACAACCATCCACATAGACGCTTACCACAGCCAGCACTCTCATCGGTTACTTTGGTGAGGACTCGACCAGTTTGGATGTCAGAAAAGGCCCAGTACTGAAACGTAAAAACACAACCAGGTCAATACGGTGAAGCAGTAGAACTTTGAGGTCTGTTCATGCATCAAAACCCACCTGATCCTCAGAGGAGCTGAGCAGGTAGTCTCCTGTAGCATGCAGAGACAGCCCGGTGACTCCGGCTTCGTGGGCTCGCACCACCTGAATGCAGTTGCCGCCGGTAACCGACCACACACGGATGGTGGCGTCAGGAGAGGCAGAGAAGACCACAGACTGGAGAGGAAAACAGGTTTGAATAAAATGCTCAGACATCTCTAAAGATCCAACTATTCTTTTAAATAAAAGTCATAAACTCATAAAGTTTAGAGTCACCTGGGATGGATGGTAAATGACAGAGGTGACCTTTTTGGCATGACCTTTCAGAGTTGCCACAATCTGCTCGTCGTTCTTGTCAAACACAACCACGTTCTTATCGGCGCCACCTGGGAACAAAACCGGTTTATGTCAGAGTCTTCAGAAAATTAAAAATGTGTCCTAAAATTACTGTTTAAATAATAAATCAAGCAAAACAACGACGGATGCTTTCAGCGTACCAGTCAGCACTTTGTTAGTGTCTGAGGGACACACATCCAGGGACAAGATACCAGGAACGCTGGCGCTGTGAAGGCCCTGCAGTAGAACCAGAAGGAGATTGTGGTTATCAAAGACACTAAATAATCCAGAGAAGGCGCCAAGTTTCATGACCAGACCAAATCCACACTTACAGCATGCGAGGCCACTTGGCGGTACTTGCTGAGGTCTTCAGCTCTGACCAGCTCTTCTGGGACCGTTTTTCCTCTCTAGTGAGACAGAAGGAAATAGAAAGATAAAGTATAGAGCTTACACAACATGGAGCGCTGACTGCACCTCCACTGGAGAAGAAAATGCTACAGAAGAAGAAGCAAAAATACCTTCTTTCTCTCTGTGGTGAGAATAGTAG